AGACACACTGATTGGCTACCTCCTTCAAGCTTCCAGACCGGGGCTAGGGATCAAACCTGCAAACCAGGTATGTGCCTTTTGACAGGGAATCAAATCTGAGACCCTTCTATAAGTAGGCTACAACTCTAACCACTGAGAAATACCAGCCAGGACTGACCTGATCTTTTTATTGGCTTAGCCCTGCCCAGTGGTTGATCTTTATTTCTCCCTAGATTTCCACCCCTGGGTTCTATACCCAGGAAACAACTCCTGCTGTATGAGCAGAACAAATCATCTCTGGGCGGCACACTGGCTTCCTCCCCTGGGAAGTGTAAAAGCCAGGTGAGCTCCCCTAGCTGCCATGAGGCAGGACCTCTGGGGAGAGGGGCAAGCTCAGGTGTACATGCCACCTTATCTTCCAGGTACCACTTCCTCCTCCACCCCACTCTTCTATGAGATAGGCATAGCAGGAAGTTCAGGGAGTCCAAGGGTAGGTGGCTCTGTTTGCCAAAGCCAGAAGTCTGCCAATAAGGGCACACGGATAAGCTAGACCAGTATGAAAGAGCTGTGTGAAGACAGGATAGACCAAGTGTATGAAAAACATCCTGCACAGAGAATATGAAAAAGGTGCATTGTTGGCCCTGGCTGGTAGCTCAGTTGGTTGGAGTGTTGGCCTGTACACCAAAAGGCTGCAGGCTCCATTCCTGGTCAGAGCACATATCTAGGTTGCAGGTTCGATCCCCAGTGGAAGCATGTACAGGAGGCAATTGATCGATGTTTCTATCTATCTCCTTCCATACTCTCTAAAAATCAATAAAATCATATCCTCAGGTGAGAATTAAAAAAAAAAGGTGCATTGTTGGTTTGTGAAGGCACAAGCTCTCCTCATTCTAGAGACTCCAGTTCCAAGTGCAGTGCATGGTCTTAGTATTAAACCAGCTTTCCAGGTCTCTGTGTAGCACACATCTTTTTCACCTCCTCGGGCTCTCTTGGTTACAACTGAATGGTGGGAGCACCCACCCAGGCTTGGAACTACATGGGCAGAGACTAGCAGGGTGTACCCGCATATGGGTGTGAGCCTATGGGTTTTTAGAGTCCAAATAACTGTCTTACTTTTCTGTCTCTCTCAGTTTTGACCTAGCATGTTTTGTTGTTGTTTATATATTTTTTATTGATTTCAGAGAGGAAGGGAGGGGGAGAGAATCATTGATCAGCTGCCTCTTGCACTCCCCCTATTGGATGGAGCCAGCAACCTGGGCGTGTGCCCCAAGGAGGAATTGAACTGGACTTCCTGGTTCACAGGTGGACACTCGACCACTGAGCCACACTGGTTGGTTCCTGGCATGTTTTTTTTAAACAACAATCTTTTAAAGGGAGGTTCCTGTTTGTTTCACTCACTTCAATGAGACAATAGTCTACTCTCAACCAATTCTAGGAGGAAGAAAAGTAGAATACATGGGGGGGAGGGGAAAGGGAGTCAAAAGTTAAAAAAATCAAGTAGAGCCAGTCTAAATATCTACAAAATCCTGACAGTCTTTGAACAAAGGAACAATGCCAGGAATACTAGTTACCATTACTAGATTGTGTAGGACTTTCCCCAAAGTGCATTCACACGTGTTATTATACCTCCTTTGAACGTCACGATTTCTCCATTAAGTAAATAAGTCAGGTGTAACCATGAATGAGGAAACTGAGGCACAGAGTGGTTCAAGGTATTGTCCTGGATTATAAAATGATTCAGTGACCAAGTGGGGATCAGAAATCAGGTTTCCTGGGACCCAGCCTGCTGATCTTGGTCCTGCCCCGGACTGGCCACAGACACACCCAGAACACAAATATTGATTGTCTTCTCTGTGGGTCCGGGGTGTTCAACAAGTCAGGAGCCACGCCAGCCCTCCTCTGCTTTCCTACACCATCACACCGCCCTGCACCATCCCAATAAGAGCAAAATAGCTCCCTGGGGCTGAAGAAAGACTGGAAAGTTATTATGAACAGATCCTTATTTTTAGTTATCCGTGGTGTGCTAACCCAAATTAAAGAAAAAGGATCATTGTTTTTCTTTTCTAAGGCAAATGAAGTTTCTAAATGAAGAGAGGCAGTCTTTCTGTCTAGAGTGGGCTCCATTTCTGGGAAATGTCCTTTAATCAGAAATGCCACCATCAACCCTCATTTTCCTATAGATCAATGTTATTCTGTGCCAACAGTTTTCAGTTTTTGTGAAGCAGAATTCTTTCCTCGAGTGAAAACAGAAGCTCGGTGTAGAAAACAAATATTTTAAAGGAGCTGTGATGGTTGAAGCAGAGTAAGTGGCCTCAAACTCTGTTCCAATCCTAATCTCCTCCCCCATCGCCCACCCCACCCCCAGTCCCAACCCCCGCCCCCCCCCCCCATCCCCACAAGCATACACACAGTGTGAAAATCCCCGGAATAGGCAATTACAAATTAGTATGTTACTAAACATATATATATATGTAATCGAGTTTTATGGAGATAACTGATAGATCATATTTACTCAACCACAAATAATGCCTTCTCTTTGGCAGGTGCTCTGAAGCCCTTGGGCCACACCGTCCAGTGCAGGATCCAACTCCCAACTGCTGCGGCTTCCTCTGGTAGCCAGACTGCAAGGGTCCCCCACCCCTCCCCCCTCCCCCAGCAGGCCTCAACCGAAGACGTGGGAGCCGGTGTCTAAATGCCCTGGCTCTCTTACCCCTCATGCATCCCCACATGCATCACCAAATTGCAGCTTTCTTGATGCTGCCTAGATTTAAAAGCTTGAATGCTTCACTTAATCAAGGCTTCTTTTGTTGAGTTTATGTGTTCTAGTTTTAAAAAGCACCTCTGCCCTAGCCAGTTTGGCTCAGTGGATGGAACGTCGGCCATCGGACTGAAGGGTCCTGGGTTTGATTCCAGTCAAGGGCATACACCTCGGTTGCAGGCTCCATCCCAACCCTGGTTTGGGGCATGTGCAGGAGGCAACCAATTGATGTGTCACATCGATGTTTCTCTCTCTCTGTGTCTCTCCCCCTCCCTTCCACTCTCTCTAAAAAAAAAAATCAATGGAAAAATAACCTTGGGTAAGGATTACCAGAAAATAAAAATAAAAAGCACCTCAGTCCCTTTACTACCCAGAGCTCTACTGTCCAACCCAAGGATGACTTGCAGATCTTGAACCAGATTTTCTGCCTTTTCTCCGTTCTCCTCCTCTCACCAGCAGGGCAGACAAGTGTGGGCTTAACTAGTGGCAGCAGACATTTAAAATCCGGTCGCTCAAGCAGACATCAAGAGGTCATCAGGATGATCTCTCTGACCTTCTGCCATGGGTGTAACCTCTTTACATCCTTCTTCTCCCAAATATTAAAAATCATTAATACTCACTAGGCTAGTATTATATGCAAAACACTGTGCTAGGCTCTCGCTGGGAAAACCAGACTTACACAAATAAAAGTCTAACTCGTGAGCTACTGGATAGCGAAGATTGTGTCTTATGGGTCTCTGTCTTTGTCAGGGTGCCCGGTGCTCAGCAAGTATTTGTGGAATGAATGAATGATGTCACCAAACATTTTACTGAAACCAACCATACCAACAAAGATTTCTTGAGCCCCATCACTTGCTACGTGTATTGGATTCAGTCAAGACAAAATTCTTACCCTTACAGAGCTTACAACAAATAAGGGGGTGGTGTGTGTGGGGGGGGGGGGAATAACCATGAGAACAGGAACACAGGATCATCCAGTCTGTGATGTGTAAAAAGAGAGGGTAAGCAGTGGCATAGGAAGTGAGTGTTGGAAGTGCTCTGGAGAGAATGGAAGAGAGGGCTTCTCTGAGAAGGAGAATTTACAGCCAAGCACTGAAGGATGAAAAGAGCCAGCCAGTGAAGATGTGGGAGAAAAGTAGAGAGAGGACAGCACTGGGGACAATGCTCTTGGCTTGATAGAGCAACAAAAAGGAGTCCATTTCTACGGGAGAGCACAGAGTGGAGGAGGAGCCAGGGGCAGTTATGCAGGACCTTGGAGGCCAGAGTAACATTTTCCTCTGTCTGGAACAAAAGTCCCTGGAGGGTTTTGAGCAAGGGAATGGCACAATCTGATTGTTTTTTTGTTTGTTTGTTTGTTTTTACAGTCTTGGCTGCAGTTTGTAGGATTAACTGTAGAAGAAGAAGAAGAATAGACATGGGGAGACCATGGAAGAGGCTCCTGCATTAACCCAAGAAAAGGTGATGGCAATTTGGCTGCAGCTGCAGCGTGGGAGATGGTCGGAAATGAGCAGATTTAAATTGCATTTTGGAATTGATGGTTTGAGTGAAGTATCAGCACTCAGAGGCAGCAAAAAGAAGCATCAGATGAATGGGAAAATAGCAGTTCTATAGATGCTCTAATGAGGAAGGAATACAATGGCCTGGAGTGGTCCAGGAAGGCTTCACCGTGAAGGGCTGCCAGACTGGGTCTTGCAGTCCAGTAATTTCATACAGATGAGAAGGGAGAGGCATGAGCAGGAAGTGGCAGGAAGATGTCCTGTTTGAAGACTAGGGTGTTACCAGCCTGACCAGGTTCAGGGGGAAGTCGGGCTGTTGATGGCAGCTGGAGAAAGACTTAACTCTTTATGTAATGAGATTCCATTCAAGATCTGAGAGCCCCTGGAAGCCCCCCCTTTTTTTGCCAGCTCCTTTCGGTGTAAGGTTGGCTAGAATAAGCCGTAGAGACCCACCTGCCACAGGTTCTCAGCGGGAATATGCAGTGTGAGCAAATGCCCACTCCTTGCAGGGTGGTGGTGCCACATGGAGGATGAGGCAAGGGGAGCAGAGGGACCTGGTCCTCAGTGTGCACAACTGGGATTCATGGCCCTGACACATGGCAGGAGCCCTGCTAGGCTTGGGTCCTGGGCTTCTGAAGCAGTGTGTGGTATGGACACCGATGGCACAATTCCCTGCTTGAATCAAAACAGGTACTATGGAAACGGGATTTTCTCCTTTCTCTGCACAAAAACCATATCTTCCTGGATGCCCAGGGGAGAGTTGGTGCCCAGGGAGAAACCATCCTCTTTGAGTGGGAGGGTAGAGGGATGCAGAGTTCAAGCCATCCATTCATTCACTTGCTGACTAGCATGTCTTATGCCCCAGGTACCAGACATAGAGAATTAATAAGACAAAGCCATTGCCCAAAAGGACCACACAGTCTAGAGGGGGACCCAGATATGTAAACAGGGTGACAGGTGCTGGGCAAGCAGCAAAGTCCCTCACCCCAGCAAGCCACATACCTGTCTGCTTTCCTGTTTTTTGCTTCTCTCTCTGTCTTCGGGTGATGCTATCTCTTAGCCGTTTAAGATTTTCCTGGGGAAAAATTAATTTGTTTTTAGAGTATGCATCAGAGTTATATGCCCTCTAGACATTAGAGTTTCTTTCTGATTTTAGGCTGTTTGTAAGATATATCACATTGCAATAATATCTCCAACATGCAAATGAGGCTGGGTGCATTTGCAATCTGCCCTCAGAGAAATCCAAGTACTCTTAGAAGTTGTGCCTGAAGAGAAGAGACACCTTGTCCACAATAAAGTGTTTCCCAGCTCCCTCCCAGCCTTATAACCCACTGCCATCCTCTTTGTGTGCCCCTTAGCCAAGTCAGTCTGTTACCTGCTCATAAACACTCCATGCACATTCCTGCCTCAGAAATTGTGTTCTGATTCCCCTGACCTTGAAGGACATCGGTTGCTTTCCATAATTCTATTGCAAGCCTGGGTCAAGGCTCCCCTTCTCCCTAAAGCCTCCCTACTCTGCTCCGGTCCTTCGTGACTGCCCATGCCACCTGGCACTGGGCTATGCTGCGTGTGTGTTTTCTTCAGAAACACTGTGAACTCTTAAAGGGCAAGACCAGGTCATGCATCTTTCTGTAATTCTGCAGTCAGGTCTATTGTAGTCATTTGATAAATGTTGAGTAGACGTGAGGGTGGAAATTTGTTGCTATTTTAGTCAATAAACAACAACCACTGGAAGTGAAGAGTCTGCGCATTCTAGGGAAATGTCCCCCGGACTAACATCCAGGCATGCAGAAGGTTCCCATGCGAGAGGCCAGACTGCAAGGTGGGTTGGGCTGTGACTGTGACTGAGAGACTAAGGTGGGCCCACGGAGCAGTAGGGAAGCACTGGAAGGTGTGTGTGTGTGTGTGTGTGTGTGTGTGTATGTGTGTGTGTGTGTATGTGTGTGTGTGTGTGTGTGTGTGTGTGTGTGTGTGTTAACTTGGGTGGTTTTATATCTATGACTTATTTTATCGTATTTCTTGGGAGCTTTCCAAGTGCTCTTTAAGTTGTAAACTGTGATAGTTCTGTGGGAGTCTTGCCACTAGGAGTAGAGACAGAGACTCTGAAAAGAAAAAGCTGGAAAGCAAAAGCATAGGGCCCCATGTGGAGGGAAGCCACAGCCACAGATTTGGGGTTTACAGTTGAGTCTTTGTTCCTGATCTCTAGCCTTGCGACAACCAGAAAAGCCACCCAGCTCTCAGCCAGGGAACAGGGGTGGTTACAGGTGACAGATCCACACATGCACTGACTCACAATGACACTCAAAAAGCGTTCACCGGCCCTGCCGCAGGGGCTCAGTTGCAGCCACACAAAAGACAGCTGTGGACCCGGCCCTCCACTCCTGTCTAGGAGAAACACGAAACCAATTCCTCCCGGAGCCAGCTACCTACCTGCTGGAAGCGAAAGGATTCCGAACGCTTCTTCTGGTTGAGCTGCCACTCTTTGAAGTGGAGCACGGCTTCGTCCACGTTGACGATGCCCAGCTTCACCTGCTCCCTGGAGGGTGATGAGCTGCGCTGGGCCTGGCCGTTTTTCATCCCATCAAAGGGATCATATATACTTGACGGGGGGCCTGTCTCTTCC